AATACACGAGTTTCACAATTTGAGTTGAATTACTGAAATAAATGAACTTTTCCACGACATTCTAATTTATTGAGATGCACCTGTATATAGCGGGAGCGGGTGGGTGCGGAATAGAACCTTGCGGGAGCGGGACTAAAAAAACAGTCCCGCGCAGACCTCTACATTGAGGAATGGTACTACACTCTTAAAAAATAAAGGCTCCAAAATGGTGTTTTTTGCAGTGATGCCATAGAAGAACCATTTTTGGTTCCCCAAAGAACCTTTCATTGAACAGTTCTTAAGCGAACCATTTTAAAGAACATTTTAAAAATCTAAAGAACCTTTTTCCACTATAAAGAGCCTTTTGTGCATTTGAAAGGTTCCATGGATGTTCAAGATTCTTCATGGAACCATCAATGCCAATAAAGAACCTTTATTTTTAAGAGTGTACTGTATGAACTGTGTGGATTGACTTTGCTTGGAACTATGCTTTCTAGTGAATCAAAAATAGACAGACTACAGTAACTGGAATTTTGTTTCTCTATAACTTACACAATATTAAGTTCTTCTTGAACTGTTGTATATAAGCAATATCACACTCAATATAGTGTGAAGCTATCCCTTGTAATATTATTTAATTAAAAGGAAAAAGGCTAAGAGTAATTTGTATAACCGTGAAAAGGAAAATCCCCTCTAGTTTTTGTGTATTCTCTGTACAGCTCCTCAATGCTCTAGTTTTTTATGATCCATGCATGGCCTTAAAATGCCCCACAGACACAAGATTTCTCACTTTCCCTCGCTCTCTCTCCTTTTCTCAGGCATGGCCTGGCTAGTAATTATCACCCGTTGATTACATCAGAAGAGTAGGTGTGAGCAAGACAGCAAGGATGGATGGACAGATGGAAGAATAGATAGGGAGAGGAAGAGAGACAAGAAGGGCACCACGGAAAAGGGTGGAGAGAAGAGAAGAGGGACTATTTCCATCTCACTTGCTGATTCCCGGCTGCCGCCTTGACTTGGTGTTTCTCTCTCTCTCTCTCTTTTTTTCTTCTTCAATTTCTCACAAATTAATTAAAAGTGTCTAGTTGAATCAGCACTCAGGACACACC